AGTATATTTTATTATATGAATAATGACTTCTGCATCATTAAGAATGTAATGAATTATTTTCACTAATTTTGACACTTTAATAAAAATATATATTAATTATTATATTATGCTCTTTTTATAGAGATTTTTCATAAATTTGAAAACTAGAGTTACGTACTATATATAAACAGTCGTTTACGTATCTCTAATAATTTAAAATTTATCGTCAAAATCTATATTTTTATCAGGAGAATCATTGTTAGTATTAAACCGCATAATTTGAAAAAAAAATTATTATTCTCATAGAAGTCGTCATTTTTCATTTTATAATACTTATAGTTAATAGATACATTACCTAATTTAAAAAAATCTATTTGATTATTTCAATTTGTATAATTGTTAGTAATAAAGTAATATCCATTTTATGTTTCATTTGTAAACTTTGTATACTTGTATTGTTATTGGTATTGTTTTGAATGTATAATAAATCAAATATAAATATAGAGATATAAATTTCAGAACGATCAATATTAATAAGATAAAATACACATATTTAAATGTACGTGCGCCGAGGTACAAAAGCATATGCAAACACAGGCACATGCATACATCATTATCACATAAGTTTCAGGTAATATTTAACACATTAATCATAATATTACTTTGGATTTTTTACCGTTTCATAAAGTACAACAGATAAATTAAGTTTAACGGATTCGATTTTCAGTTAAGTATACATATGTATTAAGTAACATGAATAAATGAAATATAATATATTGCAGCGTTATTATATCATAACATTAATATTTAATATTTTTAAATAGATTAATCTATCATTACTTCAATTTAATGCTGTATAATTTAATCTCTCAAGTAAAACAAGGCTACAAGCATGTACAAGTTGTAAAGTATATCAATATTAATAAGTATTTAATTAAATTATTTCTATTTCTAAATGTATAAATGCTCCTTTTCCTAATTAAAGAGCCTGTACATATTACTGTACGTATAACGAGGTGAATACTTTTCAAACTTCGTTCTATAAAAACCCATAATTAACATTAATCATAAAATCATTATTTCAACGCTTCAAGAGAGTGAAGCATGCAATCAATACCGAATAAAAAGTAAGTCGCTTATAGCGCAAGTGATCGGACTGTAGAAGTCGAGCAATAGGCTGACAAAAAATACTTGAACTACTAGTTGTAAGGGCTGTACGTGCTAAAGTACTTGTACTTGCAATAGCACGTATATAGGACGGTGGCGCCATCTATCCGGCGTGACTCGCATGAATCAACCCTTAACGAGAGGGTAAGGCAGACCCAACAACACGAACGGAAGAATCAGCTGAAGACAATCTATTATTGACAATCGGCACCATTTGCTTACTTCTTTCTGACACCCAAACAATATAACGTTCGATTCAATTGCTTTTTGTAACGGATTGAATTAACAACTAGCGACATTAAAAGCCAGCCATTAGCTAATTACAAAAATTACGGACGAGAAATCAAGCTATGTTTCGAAGTCTTCGAATAATCGAATCTACGTAACATGTAGCCTCGATAAATTATCTCGCCACAAGCTCAACGCATCGATTAAGAAGCCAATAGAGTGACGGCAGCCGATCAACGTACTAAGAGGGAAAAAATCGAGTCCGCGCATACGGTAATACTCACACTTGCATGGGCTATTTTTCTTGCGTAGCGTCTGCATGAGGAACTCCACTTGTGCGGCTCGAATGGGAACACGTTCGGAAATCACCACGCCCGTGGCTTTCGGAATGGATATCGTTTAAAACGACGCTGTCCCCGTTATCGCCAAAGTCCCATGATCCCGCGCCCCCAATCCTTGCACACGGCGAATGTAATTTATGCTCTCCTTCAGTCCCCTTCCTCTCTCGCCGCACGTCCTGTGACACCGACTATTTCCCTCGCGGGAATTCACGTAGACGCGGAGTACCGCGGTACTCGAGCCCGGCGGCCGAGAATTTCACCTCGGTGGAAGCGAAATTGGCTCGTCCTCGTCAGCTGAGAGCGAGTGTGGCGGGGCTAAGTTCGCGGGCCCGGTTGCGTTTGAAATCGCCACGGGAATGACAGCTGCCTCGCACGGGGACACGAGTCGTCCATGCCAGATATACGGACGGGCCGACTCTCGCTCTCGCTCTCGCTCTCTCCTTGATCAATAATACAACTCGCGGTGCGCGACGCGCGGCGTCGCTCGTGCTCGCCTCGTGCTTGTGTTTGCCGTGACTGTTTTATTATCCTGCATAATGGTGTCCTCGGTTAAATATTGTTACGCAGATCAACGCGATGCGACTTTACGTGAAAATACGAGTTGGTTCTCGCATTTCTTAGTTATAATAGGCCTACGGGGCTTGATAGAGATTGTGATTTTTTGAGATTCTCAAGGTCTGTAAGCGTAATCGGCGCGAATGAAACTTCAAAATAGAATTTAGCTACTATTTAGCATTATACATTTCAAAAGTTTTGAGACTGATCATATAACGTGCATTTGGAATAATGTTAATTAATCTTGGTGATCCAAATTGTTTTCTTATAATAAAAAAGTAGTTATTCATATATCACATCGTTGAACATTTTTTATTATTTAAAAGTAAATGTATAAAAGTAAATACTTGTTCATGAGATAAAGACAGTTTGAATTATGTTATAATAATATTATGTAATTCAGACATTCAAATTTCAAATTTTTAACATAAAGTTTATTATATTGTATATATTGATTCTTTATCTAGAAAGTGATGATATTAATTGAGATTGTAATGAAATTTGGCATAAATATTTAAAGTACATTGAACTATTACATTTCATTTCGATCAATTTGTGGTTATGAACATTACTAAGCGTTGGTACGAGAATATAGGTTGCACGTGTTATTCTAATTATATTTTCATTAATTATAGCACAACTATTACCAACTACTGACATTATAATGGACGTTTTTAAATTATATCTCTATTGTCATTCACTATGTCAAATGTTTAATTTTTTTTGTTTAATACTTGAAGTAATGTATGTATCGAATAAAAAATTACATTGATACGTTATATCACAATCAAAAGAATAATTTAATTTAAGAAACAATTTGTAATGAATTATTGTTTAACGAAAGCATTTTCTATATATACATTAACAATAGTATTACATATATAATTTATGCACATATGCTTAATTTACATTGTTTAAATTTAAATATCGATCAATGTCGTATGTTTTCGACTAGCAGACAACTACCGAACTTTTAGTACTTACGCTGGCTACTATGAAACGTTAGTCGCCACTATTCATGAATATAAATAATCAACATACTTGTTTAAGCTGCATATTGAATATGATTACAAACTTTGATTTCTAAACTATATTGAAATTATATAAAAACAATGACGGAGGAAGATAATATATTATTCGTTAGAGGGAACGATGATTCTGGTTTGTGTTATTTTTCATTATTTGCTCTAATAAGGTTATGTTTTACAATTATTGTATTTAATGAAGAGTTTTTCTATAAAAAATGTATTAAAATTATGAACTGATGCTTATTATGTTTGGTTTTATTTAATATCCAATGTTTTCTAGAGTCTGCTGATGTATGGGACGATTCAGCTCTTATTAAAGCATATGATAAGGCTATTAATTTAGCAAAAGAAGAAGTTTCAAAGCGTATGGGCTTAGAAACTAAAAGTGCAGATATAAAATCGAAAAAATTTCAGTCTCATAAGTATTATAATCACTCTGAACAGCACAAAAAGGTACTTTTCTAACACAGAATATTATGTAATTATATATATGTTTAAATAATTGTATACTCTATTTTCTAATTTTTATTTAAGAAATGGGTTGTTGGTTCTCCTTGCCAAGCAGTATATTCAGAAGACGGAGAATTTTATGAAGCAGTAATAATCAAAGTATTTGAAAATTCTGGAATGTGTACTGTCAAATTTATAGGTACAAAAATTAATAAATTTAAATATAATTATTATATATAATTTGTATGTTACATGTCAAACTCAAAATAATTTATATGGAAAAATGGAAAAATACGTATAATAGTCGTAAAGATAAAATTAAAATTAAATTTTTTTTTACAAACGGCAATTTTATTTTATTTTTACTCAATATTAATACTGTATTAAGCTTGGTTATTATTAGAATTAATAATATTATAGTATATTATAATGTTATTTCCATATGTAAAAGAATATGTTTAATTAGAGAAAATAATTATGTTAATTTTAAACAAATGGAATTCGTTGATATTATTAGGTTATGTTATAGATAATTCAAATCTTGGTTTATTATTTCATATAGACTTATTGTTTGTTATTTATAATTTGAATGAATTATTTATGAATTTAATATTAATCGAATCTAAAATAAATATATTATAAATGTAGTCTATTTAATGTCACGTCCATTATAATATAATTGTGTGTACTTTTAGGATATAATAATAAGGAGAAAGTTGAACTTTCTAAACTTATTGAATCAGAAGGTCTACAGAAACAAATTGCACAACAGAAAGAAGCAGCATCAGCTGGGCAGAATGTAAATATGATGGATTTTAATGAATTTCAAAAGTCAAATGGTCTGTCATATAATCCAATGGACTTTGATACTAACGAAACTAAAACATTAAAAAATATGTACATGCCTGGATCTTCTTTTAGTAATGATATAAGTACAATACCTCCAGCTCCACCACTACCTCCTCAATTTATGGCTCGGTTAGTCCGTTTTATTATATTTAATTCTATTTAATTGTAAATAAATAAATATATAAAAAAAAAAAATATATATATATATATATATATATATTATAATTCATATTTAAAGGTTACCTGAAAATGATGCTGATGCTTTATCAAGTATGTTAATGTCCTGGTACATTAGTGGATTTCACACAGGTATTATGATATAAAAATTCGCAATTGATACTAAGATATAATATTTTGAATCATAAATTAATAGCATATTGAAATACATATATTGTATAAAATTTTTCTTGATAATATATTATCAATTCATTATTGCAGGTTATTATCATGGATTAAAACAAAATCAAATGAATAGAGATCAAAGGAAAAAATAAAGTTTTAATTGTACACGATCTATAAATTACACGATAATTAAATAATTTTTTGTACAAAATAACGTGTAATAGTTTATTTCTTAGTATGGATGTATTCATTTATATTATCGGATGCACCTTAATAGAATGTGAAACTACTCTCAATACAGTAACTTCTATTAATGATGTGATTATTAACTGGACATCTACTAGATTGGAATTATAAAAATAATTATTGCTTGTTAACAAAACTTTGATCCCATATTTCATATTTTAACTGAATTTTGGTATTGATTGGCTTAATTATCGTCATTGCCTTTGTTAAATGTGTTAAGTTAGTGATTCCTTCATCATGTTTTACACATGATTTACCATTTTCTAAACACATCCAAAAAGGACGTAGTTGCATCATCCAAGCTTCTTTACAGAGAAGTTTAATATCTGAACAAGAATATTCACTAGTATTTTTCAATATTATATTATATTCTGGTTTTTTAAACAAATCAGATTTCAAATAAAGTTTAAAAATTTGATGTCTAGCTGATTCATTTGGAAGTCCTACATAAATACGCTTCTCTAATCTTCTTAATAAAGCTACGTCCAACTCCCTATATAACAGTATTAAAAAATGTAATTTATTAAGAATTTCATGCATTTTAAATTATGAATATATATTACAATATATTCTGTATGTACATTGCAATAATATCTAAAAAGAAGTTATATTATTATTGCAATATTTATTTTTTCAGACAAATAAAAATTAAAGTTGAAAAGGTTACTACTAATGTCTTACAAGAAAAATAAAAAATAAAACAAGTATATATTTAAATATTTGACTGCATCATATTATTTTATTTTGATATATAATTATATGAAAATAAATATATTGAAATATTGAAATAAATCTTTCATTTACATATATTAATATATTTTGTTTATACCATGGAATATTTGTAGCTGCTAATAATAACACATTCTTGTTTTCCATGGATAAAAGTCCATCTAAACGAGCTAAAAGTTCTGCTCTAAATCTTCGGCTTGGTTCAGATTTACCACTTAGATCATGCGTTCCTCCACCAACTGTCCAGTCAACTTCATCGATAAAGATTATTGATGGAGCATAGTGTTTTGCTAAATCCAAAAGTACCTACAATAAATTTTATAGAATTCATATAAATTATAATTGTAAAATTGCATACTTAAATTTATATGATTAATATGTAAAGAAATTACTCGAACATATTTTTCACTTTCACCACGCCATTTACTAATTAGAGAACTAGACGTAATATTAAAAAATGTAGAGTTACATTCTGATGCTACAGCTTTGGCTAACATAGTTTTTCCTTAAATATAAAGGATAAAACATCTTAATCTTTAAATAAACAATATTTTTCATTAAAATTAAATTCCTATAATATTTTAATAGATTTTTAAAAACTTTTATTTATACAAATTACCGGTTCCTGGTGGTCCATATAATAATACTCCTTTCCAAGGTCTGAGTCTATCATTAAACATATGTGGATATTTTATAGGATAAACTGCCGCTTCTTTTAAAAGATTTTTGCATTCTTCAAGTCCTTTAATATCATTCCATTGAACATTTAAATTGCTTAAAACGATTTCCTATAGATTTTATTTCATTATAATTTGCAATCAATACACATACGTGAAAGCGTATATTCTTGTGTATACGCGCCCATGTGTTTGTGTAGTTAATGTATTATTTCCTTATTTAAATTTTCAAATGATTTACTTTTGTTTAAATATTGTGTTTTTTTAAGCTAATAATTAACCAAATTGTTAGCAATAATAGAAATGAACGATTAGAATTAAATGTAAAAGATAAATTAAATATTAAGTATTATTAAATTTTTTGTTTTCCTATAAATTCTAAAAACAAGTAAAGAAACTTTTTTATAAAAATTTAAGTAGTTTATTTAAAAGACAACTTTTTAAAAACTTAATTAATGATCGTTATCTAATAGTAAAATTTTAATTTGAGATTTTTTAATTTTAATGTATTTGTTTATTTAATATATTTTATTACCCTTGGATAAAAATACGACTATATAGTTTAAAAAATTATTTTAGACAATATGAAAAAATACCATATATTATATATTCAAAAATTCAATAAAATTTGAAATTTATCTATTTTGAAGTTCCCTTTTAATGAAATATTCTTAAAATGTCTGTAAACAGTTTTATAGTAAAATATTTGTTATAAATAGAATTTTCAGAAGCTGATTAAATGGAAATATAGTACGGAATTACAAAAATAATAAAAAATACGAACCTTAGTAATTATGCAAGCAATTTCTCTCCATTCGGAACCTGGTGAGTAAAGACTATTCAGTGATTTTAAAAACTTGTGTTCACGCAAATTTGATTCACTGAAAATACTCTTATCTTGGTCATTTATAGAATTTTCTAACGGAAATAAAGGAGTTACTGTGATATTAAAATTTGGTTCAAGTTCCTTTAAATGGCTGGTTTTTATTTCTTCTCCTGAATTCATGAAATCATTTTCACTTTTCATTCTATCATGATTTTTATTTAGTACTTTAATACTTTTATCTTTTCTAGATCTTTGGATATGATATAAATTTAAATAAAATATTTAATACAAACATACATATTACCTTGAATGTATCCTATAGTATTAAGTAAATTCAATGTTTATTTTATTAATACTGATTTACATATTCTATATACATGATAATAAAATATTACCACATGTAATTAATTATAAATTAAAATTTTGTTAATACTAAAGAAACGCAAGATAAATATATAAACAATATTTAATAAATAAAATGATATATTATCAGAGTGAAAGCATAACTTCTTGATAATATACATACAATTTAGTTGTGTCAATACTTGCCTAATGTTTATTAATTTTGATTCCCCCTTTTTACAAATTTTTGGATATTTACTAAATTTTGCAAAATAATAATCTGAAAATTCCAATAAAATTGTTTCAAGGTCAATATTATCACAAACTTTAATATCTGTTAAAAGATGAGCTTCTCTGATGAAAACTTCACATGTATCGGTAAATCTATTAAAAATATTTATACAGGCTATTTTTATTTAAATAATGTATTTATTCCTGACATGATCTTTGCTGAATTAGCATATTCTTCTGTTAACAGAATCTATTTGCGTTAATGTAAGAATCGATAATATTTACCCGTGATCTTGTAGAAATTCAGCAATCAGGTACAAAAGATGTTTTTTTCGCTCTTGAGCACGCTTCTGCTCCTGATTATGACATTAATAAATTAAGTCTTAAATTAGAGCTTCATCCGTATCCAAGATATTTTTAAATTTAATTAAATTAAAAATGTATTGAATATTCTTTATATAAATAATATACTATTTATAATAAATATATTATACAACTTGTAATAAAATGCCTTACTTTTTCTCTAGCAAGGCATGCTGTGCGATTACTATTTGTTTTAAAAGAAAGGTCTTCCATCGTTGTTAAGGATATTAAGGAAAACGAAAGTTAAATCTGTACAGAAGCAATATTTGTTTATAGTTATTATTTATCAGTGATTTACTTTTACGTTTCTCATAAATTTTCTTTATCATTCAATCATTTCTATATCATCATTTCGTTCTTTAAGAATACACTACTGCGGTATCCATAGTAACGTAAACGTATCTTTTCCACTGAAAAAAGAAAAATAATTCATACGGATTTAAAGAGTATTCAATAAAATTGATTGCATTTTTTTATATTACATTATTATATCTGCGCATAATTAACTTTATCTTTTAATGAAAAAAAAAAAAATTAAAAGTTTCAATTCACTTGCTACATTCTCAAAAGCCGATTAAACACTAGTTTATCTAACAATTGCATGTAGTATAATAATTGCGACAGAAATGCACATTGTACAACAATTTAATAACAATATTCAATAGTTGGATAAATTTTCAAGCAAGACAATAATTTTAATTATATTCAACTTCTGTTTATATAAAAATGAATTATAAAAAGTGTAAATATAACAAGAAAGCGAAGTTAAGGTAATTTTATTATATAAATATAATTAATTAAATTAATTTAAATTAAATTTAAATAACCTTACTTCATTAATAAACTAAATGGAAATATAAAATACTCGAATAATTATATAAGTCAATCATCCATTTATCATTAGAAATTTTACTTTAGTTAAAAGATTCAACAATGTCAAAATAATATTAATTTATCAACAATTTGAATATCAATGTTATTGAATAAAATATACTTAATATTCTCAAATAAAATGATTCATTTAAAAGTAATCAAGAATATCGTATCATAGATAACAGTTCATCTTTAATGATTTATTAATGCTCTTAATAAATGTTAGATTCAATTTAAGTTCATTTAATTTAATTTAATAAACTTAATAAAAAGTCGTAATAAATTTTAAAAATTGTGCAAATAAATGTCATTATTAGTTATAAAATTCTCATATAACGTGTATTGTATTGTATCATGTATATTGTACATTATTGTTAATATTCAATCTATTCATGATTAATAATTATAATATCCTTTTCCTACCTCAAGTTAGTATTAAATGTCACATTTTATTTTCATTTGTTTAAAACAGTAATTATAATTTATATAGTTCTATAAAATATACATCTTTTTAACTTTTTATATTAATATGCCTGTGAATCCTGTATATTTATTTACTTAATCTATATTAGCCATTATCTATATTATTTTTTCTATACATTTATTTATTTATTATAATAAAAAGAAGTGCAAATTCTTCGGTCTTGAAATTAAATAAAAATAAAAATAATGTCAATTAGATTTTTAGTATAAATGTACAAGTTTCAAATTACTAAATCTATATATCATTTAATATTATGTTGTTTCTATTTTGTATGTACAAAAAGGTTTGTGATAAAACTAAAATATTTTGAATTATTAAAATTAAAAAATAAACTATTAAAAAATGAATTTAAGTACGTATTTAAAATATTGCAGTTTGTGTTTTTTAATTTTATAGGTGATAATATAGTTACGTAGCGAATATATTAATGTAAATATGTCGTTAATTTAAAAATTAAAAATTAAATTTATTAAATCCTAAATATTTAGTAAATAATAAAAATAAATTTATATATTTAATGAATATTAAATTAATATTAATTGATTAAAACAAAATTTTTGTCATTTTAATAAAATTTATAAAATCGAAATAAAAAAATTAAATGAAATTAATAAATTCCATATATACATTCGTTTTTACATTCTGATTTTATTAAACAAAAGATTTTGTTACAAGCAATATTGATTAAGTTTTTTAAATATGTAATTAATGTGTTTGAGGACCTATATAATAATCAAATTTTTAACGAAAATTAAAAAACGCTGTCATGTGTATACAAACTAAAATATATTTGTAGATACTTAGTTTTATATCGCCATTTGTAAATATTAACAAATTTTAATAAAATTTTTAATATCTCGAAAGAAATTGTAGAAAAAATCATATGCTAATTAATATAATCTACATTTAACTACTACATTTAACTATATTTTAAATATGTCTGTTCTCGATCTTTCTGATTAGTCTAAAATAAACAATGCAGTTACTTTTAAATTAAAATTTGCGGCTTTCAAATTCACATTCTGGTATACAATTAAAATTTGTAAGTAACCGCAAAAAATGCTATTATTCGTGTATCTACCATTCATAAATAAAAATTTACATTTCAATTAATTCATTAGTTAGTTTTGTTTTAATCTTTTGTAATTCACAGAGTAAAGGATAAAAATAGTCGAACCCTTCTTATCTCTCTGATCAAACAAGCTTTCATCCTCTCTCAATCTTGATAATAAAAAATGGTTACACGATTGCAAAATGAATAGTTATCGAGTGTTCCCTATTTAGAATACTCCAATTCCACCGATAATTCACACGGCGCAATAAAATCAACTCACTTTCTCTACCCATCAGCCTCTCAATCGCCTGACAAACCCCACCCGTAGACGAAATCAGCCTTACAAGATACCTTCCAAGCATGAGGCAAGGAGGTGAGCTTGTAGTCCCGTTAGAGTCGAAAAAATGTTGGCTGCCCCGGTATCCTATATAATAACGGACATGGTTCATCGGCAACAGTTCCTTCCACATTGGACGGTCAACAAAGAGTAAGGTCAGTGCAAAGAAAAAAAGAACGTAAGCGCAGGCGTTTGTACTCCTTCTATCCCGAGCCCTACCCATCCACCCATATATTCACCCACCACCTACTCGCCGCCCTGGCGCGAGTGAGGCCATGCGGCGGAAGAAGGTGTTCGATCGACCCGTGGGGGTGGGGGGGGGGCACAGTGCTGCTGCTGCTGCTCGGTCGGGTCGCGCTGCGACAGCGGTTGGGGCGCAGCAGCAACGGCGGTGGAGGTGGCGACGATGACGGTGGTGGCGGCGACGGATGCAACGACGGTGGCAGCGGCGGCAGAGGCGGACAGTCACGCGCGTGCTCCTGGGTCGAACGGAGGCCGCTACCATGAGGTGCGGAGGCCAACGTTGAGAGGGACTGCGGGAGGACGTCGCCGGAGTAGCTTCCTTTGTATGCCCGGACGTTCTCCAAATATGTCGCCTGAAGGTAGGGACCTCTGACCCATTGCATGTGCTTTGACACCTAAGCCGAGATACAGTCCGGACATCGCTGGAATACGCTTCTACGCACCTGTACGCCCCAATAATAATGGCTGAGCTGTAAGCTGCACGCATGCACTTATGCACCTTTGCACCAAGTCATTTTAACGCCCATTCGCTTATAATGTTGCACCTGCGATATTGGCTACCAAACGACTTGGTACTTTGGCAATGTTCTCGCTAAGTTTCGATGACAGTTTGTTCGACGGAAGTTATTGAAATAAAAGAATGAGAGAAAAGAAACCAAATGAAGTGATGTTCTCGTTAGTTTGTCAAGAAATTTCTAAATTTAAAATTATTGGCTTTAACATTCATTGCTTCCGATTATAATCAGTATTTTAGTTTACATAGTCAATTCATATTGCGATCATTTAAAGAAATTTTCTAATTCTACTGTTATTTGCTCCACGATAGTAGCAAATTAACATAGTACATGCAATTATTACAAAAAAAGAGTAATGCAGCAAATACACTTATATTTTTGAAATTGGGTATATTGAATAATAATTATAATAAGTGTTATTATGCCAGAAAGGCGCAATTATTATAATTCTATTGATATAATTTTTCATACTCACTATTCTAAAATTATCTGTTTTTTTTTATAAAATGTATTTATAAGAACTATTATTTATTTAATATGCCTGAAGTAAATCAATTAATAATTTTAGTCATATTTATGTAATTGATAATACAATTACGGCAATTTTTTGTTTAAACTTCATTCATATTTTTAATTCGAACCTTTTAGTTAAAATGATTTAAAATTCGACTATACCTATATTCTTCGATATATTAAAAAAATGCTCATTTTAGGGTTTATAAACAATGAAAAGTTTTTCAACTTAATTACATACGACAAAATTACAGAAATGAATTAAAATGATAATTTAATTTTATTAAAAAATAAATTTTGTTTCTTGTTTCAAGACATTGAAAGTTATAAACTGAATTTCATATAAAAATTATAAAGTATTATATAAAATTAATAATAATTTGAATAATTAATAATTTGCAAAATACATAATAATCTAAGTTTATTTGAGAGTTGTCATACTGGTTAATAAAATTTGTTCTCATTTTCATGTTCAACATTTATATTTATACATTATTCATGCTATATATTGATTATCGAATAACTTAATAAAGGAAACTATTAAAATCGAAAAGCATGCACACAAAACTATTTAATAAATACTTTTATTCATATGAATTCATTTTTATAATGTAAATGTAAAATTAGTTATGTAAAATATGCTACAAAGCATAGTGACAGTTGTATCTAAAATATTTTTAAATGCATCAAATTTTTAATCGATTAATTTTTAATCGATTCAATATTTTAATTTATAAAAGTTTAATCAATATTATAATAAAAATATACAATATATTATAATTTAATTGACCATTAAAAGTTTTTAAGATAACTTTATATTTAACTACTGTTCTAATTAAATTTTCTTATTATGAAGAAAAATTTGTTTAAAATGTTATTACTGAAGACAATATTCAGTTTGAATACGTAACACATTTTAATTTTCTTCCACAGAAATGACTATTTTAATACTACCGTATCAATATATTGAAAAATCTTTTGATCGAATCAATTTTTTCATTAATTATATTAATTTTATAGTGTATATACACTTCATCCATATTATAAGAAAAACGAAAAAAATTGAAACAGTTTTTATAATTTATTGTAATGAAATATTCGTAGAAATTTATTTATATTCATATTATCTTTGTCTTATCGCAGAATAAATTACGTATGAATGATGTTTATGGCAAAATATGTTTAATTAATTTATAAAATAAATTAAACTGTTATCAGTTTTATATTAATTTATACTTATATATAAAAATTTACAATTATAATTTCATAAATTTTTTCTTAGATTTATTAAATGGAACAACAAATATAGTTGATCAACTCCAATATTATGTGGCCGAAAATATATCGATATTAATACATTTGTCTGTATTCCTTAATACGAATTTAAATAAGATAATTAAACTTAAACTTTTTAAATTTATAATTTGTTTTCATAGACGATTACGAAGGAGTCGTATAAGCAAAGTAGTATAATAATAAAAGTTGTCGATTATAATATTTATCGATAGTTAATTATATTGCTTGCATGTAATTAATTTCTATACAAGCTTTTATAACTTTTTTATTTGCAATATCTGTTTTTTTTCAAAATATCCTTTACATTGCATTTATAATTGTTTAATTGAAATAAATAACGTTTAGTAAATATCAACACAATGCAATGAATTAATAAATTATTTTGTAGATGCAATGGAGAATGAATGTAATCTCTATTAATTCAATAATTAATCTAATTTAAATTTTTTCTAAAAATACAATTAACATGAAATACTTATTATATTCCTTATTTTATGAAAACATGATAATTTTAAATAAATACGCACACACTTTAATTTTCGTATTGTGAGATTTCCATTTCAATATGAGTAGATATTTTATTAAATTAGTCAAAAACAATATTTTTATTGATACTCTACTCATGTTGTACAATTGATTAAACATGGTGAAAGAATAAGTCACTTTTAAAAATTCTATATTGAGAATATTTTTATAGATTTTTTAATTTAATTTTCAATAATTTATGCGGACGAATAATTCAATATTTATTACTTTGAATAAAAGTTGAAGAGAGGGTGATAATGATCGTAGGAGTATAAATATTTAATAATAGAAATACCCTTGCAAGTATTTTGAATAATCCATAATGAGCTAATTTCCGCTTAATGTGCGAAACGAGCCAAATGCAGAACAGGTTGACTGTTTTCGAGCAATTTATCCTTGGCCAGCAAGCACATAACACCTGCCTCGGCACCCGTTTATGAGCATTTACAAGCTTCGGCGCCTAAAGCCTCGTTCCATGCGCACTTCCCTCAATGACAAATGCATACGTTACAAAAGTCTTAACTCACACTGATTTCCAACACAATTTGTGTGTCCGTGTATGCCGTGACTGCATGCTGTATGCAGCAAGCGGTTCCTTGTGTCGCTAGAGGAGCTGTCGAGCGAATCGCTCGCGAAATAACTGAGGTCGGCCATCAACTACTTCCGCCTATTTGAGGAACTTCAATTTCTGAGTCTTGTCAGTTCGGAAGGGCTCATCTTCCTTGATATTTACGCAACTACAGTTGGTGATTAGGGGATGATGGCCAGAATGTTTTATCTTACTACTCTACTACTTTTTCTTGTTAAAACAGGTGATTATTGCTTATCCCGCTGTGTGAAATACATTGTAATTTTCATTTTTGTTTAATTTGCTTGTTAATATCTTTCTTTATTAAGTACTTTATTTTCATCTAACTACATTAATCTACACTAATACATTAAGTAAACAAAAATGGTATAAGATTTGCGAAAATCAAGCAATTCATAAATCGAAAATACATATATAATTTTATAAAACATTTTGATTTTGTAGTATAACATAATTTCGATAAATGACTAATCTAAAATATAATTTTCAATTTGAAGCTAAATATCAATAGGAGAATATATGAAATATGTAGCTTTTAAAATAAATAATTTAAAATTTTATAATTTTACCTTGTTATTAATTTTTTTGAGTCAAGAAACATGATCCATTTCCTCGTCGTACTAAAATGATATGTATATATATATATATATATATATATGTCTATGATTTATGCATTTCGTTTTCACCATAGTTAAATTATCAGACATCTGTAGTCTTTGATAAAGGATTTGTATAAATAATTAATTACACAAAATTTTAAACGGAAAATTGAATTTATTTTTCTTTATCTACAAATGTATAATACATTGTTAACGTTTATCTGAATATATTATCTTGAACCTTTATTGAATTTTCTATCAAAATACTATTTAAGAATTTAAAACGGTATTTCATGTTATTCTTTCATACGTTTTTTAATTAAAACCATTAAATTGTAGAGAGCAATATTAGTTCAAATCAGAAATTTTTTACAAGTATTTCTGATTCAAGGTCTTTTTCCATAAAATTAACTCATAAATAAATTTAATTAAAATAAAAACTTATTGAAATATATGTGTTTCAAGTGCGTGTACTTACTTACAATATCTTTAATAAGCTTTGATTATTTAAAGATATTGCGCCATTATCATTAATATCATTATAAACAAATGCGCATATTTATTAGTATTTCCATAGAATATCAAACTTACTTTTATTGTATAGTTTTAAATAACTTTTAAATAAAATAAATGTTTAAATAAATGGTATACTTTTATTAAATATTATATTGAGAATCGATCTGACTTATAAAGTTTGCTTCCGCAGCTTGGCGAATATTATATTCGAAAAATAAAATTATTAGATAAAGTAAAAAATAGGTCAGCCTAACATGGAAAAGAGAAAGTTAGAAAGTCAGCGGGATGAGCGGAAAATGTTGATTATGAAAATCAAGAGGAAAAGCAGTAGTAGCGTATATATTCACATATGAAATTCCGATTCTCTTTACCCTTGATTCAAGATGCTCTCGAGGAGAATTGCACCGACTTCCAGGGTGGAACAGTGAAACACGGGTTACTCTACGTTCCGGGTCCCGCCGTTTGTAGTCTCTGCGTTTGCTACCATTCGGAGCCAATGTGGTGTCAAGCTATTTACTGTACGCCGCCATACGTAAGTATTGCATTAGACATGTAAAAAATATATCTTAATGTTGATATGTATATACCTGTATGTGTATGTCTCACTTTCACTATCTCCCTCTTTGTACATACATGCGTATATGTGGAGTTAGGGGGAGGAGTTGATTCGGCGTAAATTTAATTCAAGTAGTCGTAGATACATATACTTGAAATTTATCCTGTTCCGCAACTTTATACTGACAAAATGGTGATAATATCCTATTTTCTTTATTTAACAACATTTTCATATAATTAGACAAATTAACTTTTTCTAACTCTTAAATACCATACAAAAATTTAATATTTAATAATAATAAATATTGATTTTTCCTTAAAGTAACATATTTATTTGATTCATTTTAACGAGACATTTATCATTATTAATGTATAAACGTAAATACTTATAAGTAATCATTAAGTAAACACTTCATTAAGTTACCCAATGCATGAAATGTTTAGGTAAACAAAAGTAAGTTGTTTTATTCTAAAAAAATTTCCAGACAGTACTACTATATAGTTAAGAGCATTTGAAAAAACTTACATAGTTTTAAAAATATTATTTTAGTACATAAAATTTTTCAAAATAAAATTTTCTGAATTTACTCCTCTGTGCTTAGAAAAAACATATAAACTATATTTATGATTAAGTACCGTATGTCATTGAATTGAATACTTTCAATTATTTAAATAATAAATTTTTAAGTATTTTTCTTTTTTTTTTTTAATATATACGTCAGGCAGTTAGTTTTCAAGTGACTGAAACAAATGATGATTCAAAAAGACTTTATCTATAATATACACTGCACGATGGACAACTTGCTAACTCAAATTGAAAATAATCTTTTTCATAGTATTCTTAATGCATGCTACGATTTGTCAAAAATTTCTTTACGATGATTGAATTACTTTGTTAATTAAAAAAACATCTTCTAGTTTTAATTGTTACTAAATATTTTATTAGATGTCTACTATTCATACATATTGAACGGTCTATTAACGAAACCTTAAGGATGAAAATGAAATTTCGTTTACATTTTTTTTAGATCAAGGAAAGTCAATATCATGTACATCATAATATATTATGCAAGTTATTAGAATTATTATTAAAAAATGAGGAATTTTCAGTATATGTAATATACTTAGTAATTAATGAATGAAAATGGCAATGTATTACTTAAACTGAAATTCGATCAATTTATTAAAAACACTTCAAAAATTTTATATTTGAAGAACATAGCATAAGAAGTAGAAGTGAAATATATAAAATAAGAATAAACCGGACTTAAATTTAAATCAATGTTTAATGTTGAATATTAATTAATTTAAATATTAATTAATTTAAATATTAATTAATTAATATTTATTAATGTTTAATATCAATTAGTTTTAATATTTAAGTTTAATATTGGTTAGTTAATGTTAATTAATTTTGAATATAAATTAATTTAATTATGATTTACATAAAATAGGATTAAATGAAATTAGAGAAGCAAAGAATAACATCATAATTTTCAAAATTAATATTATTTAATTTAATAAGTTTGAATTTTCTTTACTTAAAGGTTTTAATTTATTGAGTAGACTCATAAATAGAAAATACGTTGATTTGACTTCAGGTTTGCAATTCTAGCCTTTGTAAAGTGGGTAAATCCATTTAATCTGAAGTTCCGATCATATATAACACTCGAGATAGATACAAATGTACAAAAAAGTGGTACTAAATAGATATCGAGAATAATTTAAAGAAATATTTTAATTTATTCCAAAAGAAAATTTTTTCAATTTTTCGAAAATTTAGAATTCGTAACCTATATATAAACTTTAATTATTAGAAAAGTCAACGATACCTTTTATATTTCTTTTATATTTATTATTTTAGATAATATTCTAAAAAGCCTGCAAACAATTGGCAACTTTTATTTAAATATCATTTAAAGATATTAAAATTAAATATTTCATACTTGAAAATCATATATTATCAAAATAAATATATACATAAAATACATTAAAAATTATTCAGATTAATGAAAATATAATATATTAATTTTAGATGTTAACAATGTTTACGCTTCTTATATTTATTAAATTATGATTTTAGATATTGATGTTTGTGATAAAAAAAATTTTAATAATACTTGATATATCATTTTCTATGAAATATTGTAAGAAATAATTAGTGTGAATTGGAAATAATAAAATAGATTGTAGATATTTTAAATTAATTTTCTACAATAGTTATATTAGCTTCTAAAGCTTAAAAGAAAATTTTTTTTTCAAAAACTTTTATAAGTTGTTAATATAAGATATTTTATATAAATTTCTATGACTAATTGACAAATACAATATAATTTGTAAATAATGAATTTAAGAATTATATATTAATCATCCGGGCGATATGAGGAATAATAATAGATAAGATTTTCTATAATTAAATTACTGATGTAAATATATTTTATTATAAATTTTTATTTAAAAATGATACTATTTACAGGACTGGAAGTTTTGATATAATTGCAAGTCATGAATGCAAGTCGGAATTGGTATGCGATTTGCCCAAAAGATGTGAAAACTATCTCAAAATTTAATAATGAAGGCTTTCTTAATTGAACTATATATTTGTATAAAAACATGATCTCTTAAATTTGTTCATAGAAAGTAGTAAATATTAGATTAAAATTTAATGTTATTTAAACAATGTATTATACATCATTTTTACATATCATTAAGTTATTACGATTATTTTTTATTTTTTCTAAAAAATTAAAAAAGCACTAGCTTAATCATATGTTATTATTGTCCGCGCATTTGCGTTATTAGGAGTATATTAAAAAAAAAACATACATGATGCACGCACATTGATTTAAAAGAGTTAGAATATTAACTACATTCCCGGAAATATATATATATACATATAAGTATTATCACGCAACATTGTAACGTTTATGGAATAGTATGTTTACAATCTAAAATTTCGCATATTTTGTAATTACTTTATGCACTGCAAGATTTTTTACATTTTAACTTTATGCCCCTATTAATTTATTATTATAAACAGATATTTCATAAAGTACCAATCATTAAACAAAACGATTAGAAATCTAATGTGAAAATCATGCATTATCAAATAATTAAATTACTTATATTTGAATTATTATTTGTAAATGTAGAAGCTTAATAGAAATAATCGTATCAATTTTAATTGGTCGATAATTTACCTTCGCTTAAAATATACAATTATTACAGATATTTTCCAAGTGTTTCAATATGTATATTTATGTTATTCAAAATGTAAAAAAACATATGCGTTTTTCATGTTTCATAAAATCTATAAGAATAAATATTTTATAAATTGACTATTAATATTCACAATATTCATGTAAATAATGTCTTATTATAACTTCTATAATTATTATATATTGAATACAAAATTATATTTTTTGATTTTTAAGTCATGATACAGCATTTAATATAAAAATAATAATTTTATTATTTTTGAAATTTTTTTTGGATATTTTCACATTTTCATCAATTAAACTTCACGATAAAGTTTTTTTAAGCACAAAATTTACGAATATTTACATGAAAATAATTAAATACTCGTAATGTTTTGTGAACAATAAGTTTCAAATAAATTTACACTCATTTCTGATTATATCCACGAATGAAGTGTCCACAACGGACTATTTTTAATTATGAAAATAATTATAGATAAAAAAAATACTTAGCTAAAAATAAACGTTACACATACATATATATTACTTTTTATTATTCTTGTTTTAATCTGTCAAGAATGACGCCCAAGATAGGAGTGACCTCTTTGAATTCGTTTGAACACGATACTACCTGCTTTATGAACGTTTTACTTTAGCTTTTTATTAATGCACTATAATGAGTCATATTTAATTTATCATTTTATCATTTGGATCAAAGTTTATTATTACTATAAATGATTCTCTAATACGTTTGATATGATAGTTAAGCGTCGTGGAAAAAATTGAAAATCATGTTGTTGATTTATACTTTTTAGTAACGATGCGTATTAAATTAAGTTGTTACTTAATTATCTATTATATTTGACATATTTATATTTATTTTATTAGCTATTTAAGGATCTGGTTATTTAAAAACATATATACTATGATAGTATACTGCTATGCACATACATTTATCCTTTTATTTTTTTAATTTGATTATTTTCTTTATTTTCCGTAAAACTGACATTTATATCAATGATATAATAATGTTTTTATTTCTTAGTAATATTACCAATTATTAACAATTTGAAGTTTTATTTATTTTATTAATATTTTAGACAGTTATTGAAACAGTTAAATTGTCTTTTTAATCATAATATTTACAAATAATAAATAAATATGATATGAATTTTCAGAATTCATCTTTTAATAAACATTAAAATTAAATGTATTTAACATCTAATTTAGATGAATATAGATCGATCCAAACTGTATAGCAAAATTTCTTACAGTTAAACCGTTAATACAGATATTTCCTGTAAGCGTGAGATGAAAAAAAAAATTTCGGAATGTATGATAAAAATGTGTAAACAATAATAAATTCAAATGAAAGACAAACTGACTAAATAACATATAGAAGGATGGTATATATGTTACATATATATAAATGTATTTTTAAATTTTAATAGTATATGTTAATCAAATTATAAACTTGTATAGAGTATGGTTTAGAGGAAACTAATCGAATGAAAAAATGTTGCTTCTACTTGTTCGTTAGTAAGTTTTAATGTATGTACGATAGTGTATGTATATGTAATTGTAATATATAATTGTTATATATATATATATATATATATATATATATATATATATATATAATATAAGTTTATATACTAGTTCTGACTGATATGGTCTAAAAATACGAATTTTATTGTTATAATACTTTCTTATGATAGGCTGTACACATTTATTTTATGGTGAATTTATTTTATTGTCAAAAAATTTATTGGTATATGTA